TGTATTGTATACTTTTGATTGAACACTAGTCAGTAACTAGTGTAATGTGTCTAGTCCTATCTTTGGTGCAGACTGAATTCTATCAGTCATGACTAGTGTGTAATCAGACTAGTGTTCAATCAAAAATATACAATACAGTCCTACAGGAGGTCAGTCGCGAGGCTGAGTAGCTCAGTGGTAACGTCTCTGACTGCAGCACTGGGTGACGCAGTCCCTTCGAATCTCAGAAGGGGAATCAGTTCCTCCAAGGTTGCAGATACGCCTCGCCGATGAGTGCCAACTAGCACGAAACCTAGGTCCAAGGCTTCCTGCCGACTGACTCTAACCATCTAATACCAACAATTCACAGTGCACCATAATGGCGAGACACCTAGCATGGTGGCCACATTGCAAACATGACTGATAGAATTCAGTCTGCACCGAAGATAGGACTAGACACATTACACTAGTTATTGACTAGTGTGCAATCAAAAATACACTTTTATGTGGTTCAGTTACTAGAAGCACTGTTGAATTACATCACACGTCAGGTCCTTTAATGGGATGTTAATAGAACATGATGTGTTAACTTGGAGTCGTGAGGTGACATGAAGGAGATGAAGGCATATGGAACATCGTGTAGCCTGCCAAAAGCGACTGTCGATAAGAGGATTAGATGGAGATGTGTCGTTGAAGCATGTTGTGTTCCACTCGGCACGAAAGTGAGTAATAATATAGTCTTCATCGTTAGGTTGTGTTATCCTGTAGAATGCTGCTTATGCTAACAATGTAGTAGGCGTAATTGAACAATAAGTCTTTGGACTGGTTATCTTTTCATTACAATATGGGCCTTACTGAAGACACTCATCTCAGTTCACAACGCACACTGATGTTTATTTCCACTGAACAAAGGACACTGAAGTGGGAGTTCAATTAACTTGAAAGCAAATTATTGCGGAATTCATTGAGACATTTAGAAAAACGTGGGCAAAGAATAACTTTATCGAAAATGTCCTCAATAGGCTCTGCAGTTGTAGATATATGTTTATTTATGTAGACTATTCTAGAATAGTTGTCATTATAACACTGGAGGTATTTAATCGCAGATTTGTTGAGTAAGATCAACGGAAATACGAAAGATGCATTATGATAAGCATGAATGTGTAATAGCAAATGGAATATCAAATAATATTGAAGAAATCTCTTTACAATATTCAAGGCCATTAACACCTTAAAGATAAAGGTGAGGACGGTGTCTGAAATAACGTTTTCTTTTAAATGCATAAGTCAGGTTTCCTAATTTCGATCCCAACAGCCGCTGCAGCATGTAGTAGATAAAAACCCAAAGGTAGAATTAAGATTACTACGTATGCCGTAGATGACTTTGAAAGCTTCGTCAGCATTAACGCTAAGCTGCGTATGCATAACATCAAGTAGAATAGCTCTGTAGATGAACGTTTTCTGCCCTTTACTCAACCACTCAGGAAGATGTCCGGAGATACGAATAAAAGCGCGGCCAATTGACAGGCCTATGAAACTGGCTTCTCAGTTGCAATCAAGTTGATTGATCCACACAGAAGACGCAAAATTAGGCAGTTTGTCTTTAACTCGGTGTTGTTTCCGAGATATGGCATACGTAATGTATCAGCACTGAATTTATTTACCACCGTATTCCTTAGGCGTCGTTTCAATATCTCACTGATGTTATCCTTGAGGAACTGGCATAAATAAGGCCTGATATGAATAAAGTCTTTTCAGAACTGTGCCTACTTTGGCCTGCTCTGAATTGTGACTCATATTCTTATCGATGAATTCTGCTGGATAACCGTTCTCACTCATCAACTCTCTAATAGTATTGCCCTCTTCATTAAGACATTCATCAGAGTGGACTGACACTGATGAAAATTCGTGAGAGTTTGTTCAATATGGTCTGATGGATTTAGTCAGAATGAAGTCGTCAGTTCTGTTCGGTGTGTCATTAGCGATATTGTTGTCTATTCGTATTGTTTCATCCGTAGTTAATTCATCAGCTGACACCAAATCGCTTCGAAACTTGATTTTTACACTTCTCGAGGATGTCATGTCACATATCGTGTCACTTTGTGAAACGGTGTCTTACACTTGTTCACCATTGGATGCATCAACAAGTTTTGGTGATGAATTTCATGTAGGCCACACATCCTGTGCATGTTTGTCCTCAAACTTTTAATATGTTCGACAATGCGATAAGAGTGTATAATGTTGCATACGAAGGTTTCTAGCTTCTCAAATAACTACTCTTTTGTTCCAGCTTTACAGCCCTTTGTGTTCTTCTGTGATGACTAATGCCTGATGTTATACTAACTCAAAGATCTACAGGTGAAAACAAACAAGTTGGCAGAATAGGGAGCCAGGGAAGACGAAACATGAAGTAGATATGGAGAAGAGTGATGTGATCAAGGTAACTAACCAACGACGACAACAACAAATTGTACAAATCATCATCAATGGGAGATATCTAAACAAAGTCGCTTCTTTCACTTGTACGACCAGCATCAATTCATCTATAGGGGGCACAAAAACAGTTTTCGAAGCCAGTCAGGATTGGCTCTGAAATCAGTACGGAATTCTTGTGAACTCAGCATGAGGAATACAATTGGGACTGTAGACACTTGTATGTGGTTCATACACTTGACGAACTGTAGAATAACATCAAATGTCAAGCTGTTAAGTGGGATAAGAATGATAAACTACAAATTGACTTTGATTCATTAGTTGATATTAAGGAGATGAAAAAATACGGACAATCTTGCTGAAAACCTGCTGTGGATGAGAAGATAAGATTTAGATGTGCTGTTGAAGACTACTGTGTGAATATTAATAGGGTCTTTATCGTTATGTATTGTTGTGAAATTTGCATCAACCTATAGAATGCTGCTTATCCTAACATTGTGGTTAACATTATCGAGTAGTAAGGCTTTGATCTCGTTTTCTGCTCGCGTCTTAGGAATACTTCAGTTAGGATGGATTTCATTTCAAAGCTTCACTTTACGCCTTATTGAAGACACTCATATCAATACACAACGCATAGTGTTATTCACGCCTAATTGAATGGCCTATATAACCTGCTCCTCAGCAGCAATCCATTCGATAGATACGCACAGAAGACACAAAATAAGACAGCGTAACCGTTTATCTCGAACGCAAAATAGAGAAGGCTTCGAAGACAAGGCACGTATTATTCAGCAGCGCTTAATGCTGTTTTCCCCGCCGTATTCCTTGCGCGTTGTCTTTATATCTCACTGATGTTATCTTCGTGTGAGTGAATTCCCTCACAAAATATACTCTCTTGAAAAGCATATCATGTACGATTGCACAGGTCACTAATGAATTCATAGTCTCAGTTCTCGGAATCATTTGTTTCGCGTTTTACTTTTTGTGTATGAATACACTATGACCAGTATTTAGGTAGGTGAGAACTGATTAATAAACGTGGAAAGTGTATTTCATGTAGCGTTGACATCCATTTAGTCGATACTAGAAAGCGACACTCACTGAATGAGTGTTTCAAACGTTGTGATAGTATAAAATCATAACCAAACCATAGGTTGAAAGCACCATCCATAGGCTACCTGATGATAGTGTACGAAACCATTTTCCAGACAATCTCAGTGTTTCTATTTTGTACAGTCAGTTAGTGACAAAATCTAACTTTAAATGAACGAAGAAATTCTTAATGAAGTTAAGCAAATCTTTCGAGGAGATACATCTGGTTTTGGGCGGATTGCTATGATTTGGGCGGCTGAGTTGTAGTAAATTCGTCGTTTCCTTGTGTCATTTTGTGTAGAGTGTCTGTTTCTTGTTGTTTGATAGGATATTGAATATAACTGTTAAGAAAGCGTGATGTCTGTGTGCATTGGTCGGGATGTAGAAGCTTCTGGTTTAAGTTAGCAGTGCGAAATAATGTCGGTTCAAATCACACCTTCAACTTACAGCCCGAGAGATACTTGTTTGGAGTTTAGTAATTAAACAATGAGTCACACCTCCACTGCTTCAACAGTGAAGACAGATATCATCAGGTGAAACTGTGAACTTCTGATGTCGTTTACATTTCATATTCCATTTATTGATTCTTCCTACATAACAACCAGTGAAGTGAAGTAACACAAATCAATTGATGCTGACACATTCATGAAATATTCTCTGAAATGTCTTTGTTACAGATGTGGACAACTTCAAGTGTTTCCAAGTAAATAGTGACGATTTACAATCTAGTTCATTGTTTTCTATTTCTTATATTCTCTAGTTTGAGTGAAACCGGAATAAAGTTGACTCAGCCGTCACATATACGGATTGGAGGAAAGGCTGGCCATTTCATTTAGCTAACTTGGGAGGTTGAATTGAGCCTTTGCAAGAACTGGAGTGAAATCATGACTCACATATTGAATTATTCCTCTTGATACGTGACACAAATACAATCAGTCAACACCACTTCTGTTATTATCCTCTTTCATCAAAGCAAAACTCTATATAGACGTGATTGCACAGATGTAGGGTAGAATGTATTCACCGAAAAGAGCAGCTTCAACAGAACTATGTGATTTCTTCCACGATTATTCAACAATGTCAGGAATACCGAAATCGCTTCCACACACACTCTCTGCATACGACTACTCAATAAAACGAGAATGTTGGATTCTTCCTGCTTTTCAGTGGTTCCAAACTCTAAGTGTCTTTTTGTGATAAAGTCAAATTCGACACAAATGACACACTCACCACTGTAATCAAGCATTCAGTTACTATCTCAATGCACAAGGTCACTTCATTTTGTCAAATAACACGAAGGCAGTTTATGCATATACATTTATTAGACAGGAACTAATCTACAAAAATAAGATGAGGAAGAATACACAGTATTCAGAAAATGAAACGTATTTGGTTTACTTACATCCGAGGAGAGCATTTGAAAAAAGATGTTTGGATAATTCTTCACATCCAATACAGGTAAGCACATCCATACTCTACGGTTTACTCCCTTCATATTATTTTCTTAATTCGTCTATTTCCAGGTGAATATCTCGGTCTCTTGTAAACCAACTTTTACACAGCCTATAGAAAGATAAGAATCAAGTCATGAATACTTGTCAGAATCAACTTTGTGAAATACACAGCTCAGTTTTGGATTGAATAAAAGACTGCGATATAATTCAAGAATCGAATGCGACTGTGTGATTGGCTGTAGCTATAGTATATTTTCCAATGGCAGTAATCCTGCACAGATATGTTCAACTCTTTTTCAGAGTCACCTTGAGTTAGAAGGAATTTCGAATAAGGAACAGACAAGAATCTGTCTCTGAACAAATCTGCACGCAGGAAAGTAGATGGATATGACATGCATTGGGAATACGGCTGAGTGATACCATATATCAGGCAATCGCTCGAGCGGAGTACGAATGTGACATAGTGAGTTGGTCGACTGTGGGTGGTACGGAGTTTATTGCGTGTGTGTAGGCCATAAGAGCCTATAATCAGTGATCTATATAGCTGGAGAGGAATTCCAAATTCAATTACTGATTTTAAATTTTCCTAAGCGTTTTCCTGACACTTGTCCCTTCATATGAAACCCGTGCCAAACATGGTACAGCAACGTTGTTATACTCTGCTGCCCACACTAGCATAATGTCTAATCAAATTTACTCTGGTTCTAACCCCATCGAGACACAAGAGAAAAGTTTCTTAATACTGAACAGGATTTTTGCTGTCAGAGGACATGAATTTAGCCGTCTGTTTGCAATAACTGAAATGCCTGTTGACAATCATTTTAATTATATCAGTCATCCACAGCACACCAATGACACCAATTACAGCCTTCAATGTTCTCCGTGATATGATTTAGTCAGAATTTGAGAAGTGCAGAGATGAAAAAGTTCGGCAAAAAATGAAGAAGAATGAGCAGAATACATGAATGAATAAATTGTTAGAGGTTGAGTTAGACCAGCAGAAAGACTAAACTTTTTTATAATAGAAGCAAAACGTAATATTTTACTAGAAACGGACAAGAAATGAGGCGAGAAACAGAGGTTTGAAGAGAAACGGATGCCGAGATACGAGATATTCGATTCACTTCCTTTCACAGTGCCGTCAGTATTAAGACAATCAGTCAACGCCTGTCTTCTTTACATCTGAATCTAAAATAAAAAAACTGTATGACATTTAGATGGATTTGGTTCATGACGATGTGATGTGAGACAATGTGATAACTTCAGATAAGAAGCAACTGGTACGGATGACGTCAAATCATCGGTATATGTAGTGGAATTATCCTCAGGAGAATACAGAAGGTCATGCAGAACGAAGTTAGAAATTGAGAAATCTCAGTGCTTTGAGGCACACGAGTTTCCGTTAGCAACGAAGTGTGGCACTCTACATCGAAAGCAGTTTGGTGGTTTCCACCTCATATAACCAGCTCTACAGGAGCAAGTGAATTTATGAACTTCCAGATTTTCCAATGGTTCTCGAATTGTTGTCAGTTCATGAAGAAACGCTTCAACCAATATATGAACATATATCACAATTAATTCAACCAATGCTGATCTTGTCATTATCATGATTGACATCTATTGTAATGATTTGCTCTCGAGAGTATGTGAAGTTTGATGAAAATGATAGCTAATTGTTCATTACATGTGGCACAAAAATAACACAACTCCACGCAAAATCTAACGCGGAATGTGTGTGACGAATAATGAAGAACAATAGGCAGAATACATGAGTTAAAAAATGGTAAGAAAAGCGTTTGAGTTATGCCTTCAATTCGTAGAAAATACCCATTGGAACAATAGATTGAGAAAAATAAGAAGTTCAGCAAAGATATCTTTTCGGCGATTTCATTTTCAAAAGCTGTACAATCGCATTTAAATACATAATTTTACATGGAGACAATTCTTGTTTGATTCTACATAATTATGACGGCGAATAAAAGGTGATAATTATTTCCAACTAGATATGGTTTTACGAGAGGCTTAGAAACAAAATTACGCAAGATTAGAACGGATATGAGCATGGAAACAAAAATTGATATAATAGTTTTTACTTAAAATAGAAGTTAGGAGGTGTGAATATAGATTACAAGAGCCTCAGAAACACAAAAATTGCACAGGATTAAGACATAATTGTAAATTTTTAAAACGGATTATAAATGTGAACAGGGAAAGCATGGAAACAAACTTAAAATAACTTTTTATAACTGGGAAAAAATGAGGTGAATCGAATGAAGACTGAGGGAGTGAGAATCACACACATAGCGAACGAAAAGGGATCAAAGAACAAAAACAAAAACAAAACAAAAACGGAAGCTACGGTAACATACCGAACTAAGTCCATGGTAGTTGTAGAGGTTGGACTAATTTCTTTTGGACACACAGCTCCGAGTTCTCGATGTATATTGCGAGGGCTTCTGCAGTACAGAGAAGTCAGAAACAATCTACTCCGAAGAAGTGGGTGGCTAGAGAATTTCACTCTCAGAGCTGCTACCTGAAAAGTCTTCTTCAGGGATTTGGAGATTCTACTTTTAAGGATATCTGTTGCTAGAATTCCAGATTCAGGTAGAGTGTCTTCTTTTGCCCTGAAGTGTATTCTTCTCTTTTTGGCCTTGGTTACATGTTCTATCCACGAAACGCGGCGGGTATCCGTTTTGAATCAGGATGCTTTTTAGGAATAGGAGCTCTTCTTCTAAACAGTCATCACTACAGATTCTTCTGGTGCGGTGGGCCAGCGAGATGATGACAGCTCTTTTACGGCTGATAGGTATCCAACTGTAGAAGTTTGTCAGCTGGCCATTCCATGTTGGTTTCCTATGGATAGATCTTTTCAGAGTTCCGTCGTCTCTTCTTGTCAATTCGACGTCCAAGAATGGAATCTTTGATTTATTTTCAACTTCCATTGTGAATTTAATTGAAGGATGACAGTTATTAAACTCCTGTAAGATGCAATTTAAATCGGGATCGTCTTGACAAACTATAAAAGTGTCATCGACGTATCTTTTGTACAGCAGCAGTTTGTTCATTGTTGGTTTAAGGATGCCGTTTTCCACGCTGGTCATGAAGCAGTCTGCCAAGAGTGGGCCAAGAGGAGAGCTCATAGCAATCCCGTCTTTCTGTCTATAGATGACGTCGTTGGACGTAAATTGTACGTTGAGTGTGCATCTTAATAACAATTCTTTTAGGTATGAGGTTGAAATTCCGATACTCAGATTTTTGTCATCAATATACTTGCAAAGGAAACAAATTGTCTGTGAGCGGCACATTCGTAAATAGAGATTCCACGTCCAGTGATAACATTCGTTTACCATTTACATTCAAGTCTTTTATGCACTCAATAAATTCAAACGTATCTCGTAGACAGTACTTACAGAGTTGTCGTCTCACAGGCTCCAGCATCTCGGATAACCATTTGGCAATCGGATGGTACGGTGATCCCTCCATGTTCAAAATTGGTCGAAGTGGTAAGCCTGCTTTGTGTACCTTTGTGTACCACTGGCAGCAACTCTAAGAGTGAAATTCTCTAGCCGCCCATTTCTTCGGAGCAATGGGAAGGACAAACTGTCGCATATGACCAATTCAATGTGCATTTACCGGTTCACCTGCTCGTGCGGAGCAAGGTACATAGGTCGTTGTACGCGCGTCCTTTCAAAACGTGTTAGAGAACACTACCCAGCGTGGCTGCAAAGAGGAGGCACCGGTTCAATCAGAAGTGGCATTATTGAGCATCTGAACAATACCTCCCACAACATCTCAACTGATTCACTCAAAGTAATTTACAAAGTCAACAGAAACCTACCGAAAGCAGTTTGTTTCCGACTTCTCTGTACTGCAGAAGCCCTCGCAATATACATCGAGAACTCGGAGCTGTGTGTCCAAAAGAAATTAGTCCAACCTCTACAACTACCATGGACTTAGTTCGGTATGTTACCGTAGCTTCCGTTTTTGTTTTGTTTTTGTTTTTGTTCTTTGATCCCTTTTCGTTCGCTATGTGTGTGATTCTCACTCCCTCAGTCTTCATTCGATTCACCTCATTTTTTCCCAGTTATAAAAAGTTATTTTAAGTTTGTTTCCATGCTTTCCCTGTTCACATTTATAATCCGTTTTAAAAATTTACAATTATGTCTTAATCCTGTGCAATTTTTGTGTTTCTGAGGCTCTTGTAATCTATATTCACACCTCCTAACTTCCATTTTAAGTAAAAACTATTATATCAATTTTTGTTTCCATGCTCACTTTCTGCACACCTGTAATTTGCTAAATCCCATGTAATTTTGTTCCTAAGGCTCTTGTAATCTATATTCACACCTCCTAACTCCCATCTCAAGTTGAAAATTATTATTTCAATTTTGTTTCCATGCTCATATCCGTTCTAATCCTGCGTAATTTTGTTTCTAAGCCTCTCGTAAAACCATATCTAGTTGGAAATAATTATCACCTTTTATTCGCCGTCATAATTATGTAGAATCAAACAAGAATTGTCTCCATGTAAAATTATGTATTTAAATGCGATTGTACAGCTTTTGAAAATGAAATCGCCGAAAAGATATCTTTGCTGAACTTCTTATTCTTCTCAATCTTATGCCTTTAATTCTCAATTTCCTGACTTCATGTGTAAGGAAACCTTTTCTCAGAAGTCAGAATTATGTGAGAATTATTTCTTAATACTTTGTGTTCCCAGAGGAACATGGGGCTTCAATACACAGCATCATGTTTCGGTAGCAGTGTTGTTCCATTTTACAGTTTGGTGTTGCCAGCCTGATGCCGAATTCTTTCTCTTGACCAGTCTGGATACTCCTTAAACGAGGTCGAGAGGTGCGTAGGCCAGGAATAGAACTCTGGCCCACGTGAATTTTCGGCGGGCACCTTACCATTGTGCACAGAACCTAATGAGAATAAGTTTGTCTTATTCATCAAATGACTTTTTCTGGCCACTTAATGTGACACCAGAAAAGTGATACTGGACAAATGCTACAACAGCCGAAAAAAGAAGCTTGAATATCCCGTGAAGGAATACAAATGAATGAAGAACTGTGCAGTATTCTTGTGAATACTGTATGCATATTAATTAATAAAATTATCAAGTAGTTTGGATATAATGTTTATGTTATCACCTATAAAAGAAAACTCACCAAGAACCCGGACGATATCCTTCTCCTGCCACCAGCTCATCTTGGGTTGGTGGTTGCAATGAAACTGTCTTTTCACAGTCATTATCTTGAATTGTTAGTGTGAAGTCATCATGCAAAGTGAAGTTCATCCCTTCAAAGTGAACAGTCATTTGTCCTAACAATAAAATAAGCAGGAATGCAATGTATAATTTGAAGGAAATTTTTTGAAGTCTCTACACGTGTACATAGTTATGACTGAAGGGGAATAATAGTGATTTGATGATCAACTCAGCCTTGGAGTTTGGTTGGTACAGAACAGTGTGAATAATGTGTAAGTCACTGATTAATTTCTTTTGCAGTAATACAAAATGGCTATCACATGCACATCAGTACCAGCTGTCTGTGCTTGAAACGATGCTGACTAAGATGATTCAAGTAAGTTACCGAATTCAAATTCATTTCACTGAAAGTGATTGTTGCTTCCTGTTGTCATTAGTCCATTGGTAAAATTCATCAATTCCATCTTCTAAATGTTCAATTGAAGTTCTGAAATCTCTAACTGCTTCGCTTGACCGCTCGTTAGTTGCTGTCTCTAAGTGCTTGAGTATGTGTGAGATCAAGCATAAATCACCCGTTTTGAAATACAGATCTTCCAGAGTATTCTCACTGATCCAGCCTAATCCTCTCCTCTCACTCCATGACGCATCAGAAAGAGAAGGATCAGCAGCCTTAGCTTGCTTCTGTCTTCACTTCACAGAATTCTTCGCTCAGTTTACCATTGTGGATCACATGACACGTAGCATTGTCATATAACTGCTGAATGGGCAAACGACCATCACTAATGAAGAGTAAAATTTTCACGTCGTTAGAATATCTAATATGTAATATGCCTCATCGAGTGATATAAGTTAGAGGAGCGTTGAAACCAAGCAATTACGGGGAAATTACTCGGTGGTAGTCTAAGGCTCTTCACCACTATATACCCACCATCCCATTAGCAATCTAACCAAAAACGTTCAAGCGACGAGATGATATCAGTGACCACACATTCACTATGACAGAATGAAATGAACTATGAATTCAAACTTTTGCTAATTCGCAATATACAGCACCATAACCATTAACCAATCTCACCACGAGTGCGTATATATTCTCACAGTGACGAGAAAGTCTTACATGAATTCCAAGTAACGTCATCTTGTAGTCAGTGTGTCAGTCAGTCACCAGTGAGAAGTAGAACGATTTTCATGCAGCATTATGTCGGGATACTCAATCAGAGTAATATCACACTTACTCCAGTCATCTATATACGTAGACTGCGTTTGAATTACCTGATTCATCAATTGTCATTTGGAGCATAAACTTTGCGCATTCAGTTTTCATAATATTGACTATGCACAGACTGACGAGTATAATGATGTTGAATTTTGACCCATGGAACTCCATTTTACTAAAAATGTGTAATAAAAGGAAAAAGTGATGAATTTCCATTTTATGTAATTTGAAATGGATGACAGTGAGTGACATTTTCTGTTCCCTTGGCTTCGAACTGGAATATGCGGCTTCTACAGCACATCTCACATTGTTCCTAATTGCTGCTGTTCTCTACAGTATGCCACAACAAACGCTCATAATCGCTCATCTCCTCCATTTCACACATCATCACCTCCATGTTATCGATGGACTCACGTCCCACCAATCCTTTCCGAATTTGAGTTGCATTCGAGCGACACCCTGGCATGCAAGTGACATTAATGAACGCTAATCCATGCATTTATAGCATTCACGAATATCATTTGTTGAACATTTTCCAAACCAGGTTGCACTTTCAAGACGAAGTATGTGGATAACTCGTTGGATGCTGATCAACGTGACTGTACAATAAATGAAATTTGCAGGTCACTTTTTCACAGTCCAAAGTCGTGAAATCTCACCTTATGACAATATACACCACTGTATGATTTAGATGAGTAGTTGTTATACGTTCCTCACATCAACCAGTAGGTCCTGTAAGCCAGGCAATTTGAAGTTATCTAAACACCGAACAGCTGTTTCACTGGTTTGGAGCCGATCCCATCGGTGACGTAGCTGGTTTTACTCAACTCAGAGAGGAGAGTAAATTCAAATCATCAAATATCTGGTTCCTTTCTACTTCTCAGCTTAGTCGAATTTGGTACACAACTGATGATTTCGGACCAAGATGAGTGAAACGCCAACGTGGTGTTTAGATCTCTTCTATTTAGCTGGTTGGCTGATGTGAGAAGCCTTGTAAAACTACTAATCTCAACCAATCACTAGTACACGGCATCATGAATTGATGCTTGCTTGCTTGATTACTATTCATGGTATCAAACACATCATACAGTGTTGTCTGAATTATTCCGGAGAGCCAGCAAACATTCCTGATATATAACTACTTATCTCATTAAATCAGAACTATATGACATCTTACATTCATGGGAAGACTGACTCAGATCAATACCAGAGAACTGTTGGGAACTTGTGAAAGTCAAATGTATTATTACACTGTTCTAATATGTTGGCGACCTGCTTCTAACTTGGACTGCCAAAAGCCACCGTCAAAAAGGATCAACAATGAAAGAATGAGGTGGTTATATGACAGAAGAGAAGAGTCAAATTCTGAGTCAAAAATGGTAAAAGCTACTGTAAATTGACGATTTTTCACAACACCCAGCTGTCAAGAGATATTACCATATCATTATTTATCGATAGTTGAAATAACTTCACACTTTACATTCAGGTCCGCACTTCATATGTCTAGAAAGAGAATTTCAAAGCTTCTCAAGTGAACCACACACTTTATAGGGCGCAATCACATCCACCTCAATAAAGATCCCCTCTACCATAGTTGTGTGATTACCATAAAAGACAAGTTATTTATGTGGAAGCACTAACATGAAACTGAAAAATTGATGACATTGCTTATTATAGATTAGACAAGGGTTGTCAATACATCTGACAGCTTTCGGTTTTGTCTCTAAAATATCTCAACGTCTTAGGCGGTTAAAATGCTGTGTATTTCAACAGCTCATAACACAAAATTTGCAAACTGTGTACATTTTAGCTTCTCTTTCATCATTCCTTAAATATATACCTGTTTTCCATGTTGACATGTGTAACACCTAAAAGTTTACCTTTGATGTCACATTTTTAGAGACGTGACATTTGCAGCATTCGTGCTGTAATTCGACTCGCGCATTTTCATTTGATAATGTTTAGACTGTTTGTATCGCCAATGAAATCGTGAACGTTCTTCGAAATCCACGGAATGTATTACAATAAGTTGACCAGACGAGTTGACTCAAACAATTTCAACACCAGACACAAGACGAAGATGCCTCAGTTAGATGAGAAGACTATGGGGATTCGGACTTCTCAGACGACTTATATGACACTTTACGCATTCATGAAGACCTACACGTGAGAACGAACAAACTGGTAAAAGAAGCAGGCAGAGTATACAGGAATGCAAAGGAACACAGAGTGGATCGAGATGATGAAGAAAGCCAATCAAACAACATTCCAATTAACCAGCTAACACTTCCAACAAGCATCAGTTGCTATCAGCTGAGTAAATTTTGAATATGTCACTCCCTTCACTTATCTAGCTACAGAGCATCATTTCAACTACACTCAGTCGAAACATGTGAGAATGTGAATGCTAAATCTAATCGGAAACTCAAGACAGACCATCATTCTTACTCTGAAATATATTCCGACATCTTCTGCAATCTACCCCAGCATAAACAATAAAATTGTTATTATCAACATCAATGTTAAGTCGGACAGGCAGTCTCTTAGTTCTTCCATTACGATCTGAATTTTAGACATGGCGTCAAGGAAAGCATTTCAAAAGGTCAACTGCACACTTTCATTAACACACGGAATCCAAGGAACAATTATGATAATAATTAGAAGAAGATGTAATATTAATGAATACCCTTTGCAGTTGATGAGACTTCACTTCGCTTAATCATAATTGACCTAAGCTTGATTTAGGCCTCAATAGCTGTCATTATTTTGTCTAAGGTCTGCTTTTTGAATGTTACTAGATGATTTTAAATTCGTCAGCAACATACATAGCTAGTCTGAATCTTGGTGAACCTTTGAATGTCGAAGTTTACCTGGACGGACTAGTGATATTCGAGTGTATTTACCTGTAGGCATTTATATGTCTAGCAGGTTTGCACTCTCAACCAATAAAGGGAAAATCGACAAAGGGCTTCTCCTTCACTAGATCAATACTTGTGGTGTCCTCAAAAAAACAACACTTAAGCGTGTTATTTCAAAGGTTTGAACAATTTGGAGTGGTTATCGATCCCAAGAAATGTATTTTCGGTTCCTCTTCCATTGAATTTTTAGGAAATCCAATAACGGCTAAAGGCATTAGGCCTACAGAAGGTAAGATAGAAACTATTAACAACTTTCCTGAACCAGATTCCTTAAAGAAACTTAGACGTTTTCTCGGGATGTTCAATTTCTATCGACGCTTTATCCCATCATATGCCTCCATAGTTCAGCCACTGACCGACCTACTTAGATGAAATCCGAAGAAATTCCAATGGTCTGAAGAAGCGAAAGAAGCATTTATTAATGCAAAAGATGCTTTATCCAACGTCGTAATGTTGTCTCACATCAATCCAGAAGTCTCACTCACTCTACGTACAGATGCATCGCAGGTAGCAGTTGGAGCAGTTCTACAACAAAAGTTCAACAATGACATCACTCCACTTCCTTTCTTCTCCAAGAAGTTGGAACCTGCGCAAACTCGTTACAGTACCTTTGGCAGAGAACTGTTAGGTATCTATCTAGCAGTGAAACATTTCAGCTTCTTATTACAAGGACGACATTTTACTATCTTAACCGACCATAAGCCTCTTTGTTATGCTTTTATCACTTCCCCCTGTTCAGACACGCAGTGGTCGGTAGATCTGTAAACCTGACCGCTATGTTCATTCCATTGACTGACATAACAAGTACGTTAACCTTTATTTAGACATTCTCCTCAGTATTATTGTTGTTGACATTTATTTCATTATAAACATAGACATTTATTAATATTATTATCACTAATCGTTTGTTGTTTGTTAACTGTAATGCAAGCATATGCATTCACCAAAGATATATTTATCTCCTTAATATATGAATTTCTCAGATGCTAACGACCACATCATTGTTTATTATGTGCATAAAATTTTTATTTAAAATTATAACAAGTTTTGATTTCCTTTTATTCCTGAATTATGCTTGCATGTGCTAATCTTTCTTTGACACAGATGCATTCCATACATTCTGATCTTACTTTGTACCCGTATTATTGTTACTGTTATTTTTGTTATCATTACTGTTAAAATTATCAATTATTTATATTGCATATATTCATGTAATCATTCACCATGACAGTACGAATGGTCCTCCGGACCTCTAAGAGGGGGATCCATGTGGAGTCCTCAAAAATAAACTTATCCAACTTTTACTATTATGTGAGAAATGAACATATGGTAAATTACTTTGTTTTAACCAGAATCTCTGCACTTTGAACTTAACCTCGTGTTTTGAATAAAAATATAGTTCTGCCTACAACTCTCCGTCTTCTCCACCATCTCAACTGCCATCGACCAATTCTAATTACCTATCTTCTATTGCAAAATTTCGCAGGGACGCCGTAATTCCTCCCTACGTTACCTTGGTCGACCTCTGGCAATATCGACGTTGGAGAATTAAGATTGGAGCAGTCTTCTTACAATAATTCTGGAGTCTGTTAAGTTAATTGTGGATTTTGGACCTTGTAATAACCCAAGTAATAAATTTTAATATATTCTTCCAGTAATCGTATGGATTTTGTATTTTTTATTTATATTTGAATCCAGGATATTAAGCTAGCTAAGTCTAAGGTCCGCCACATACCCTTTACCAGCCACTTCGTGACTGAGTGATGTGAAGAAATAATCATACCAAGTAATGTGTGCAGCTGGACATCTTGTTATGATGAAAGCATATATCTTGCTATCCACATACACATAAATCCACCCAAATCGATGCCATCCTCGTCTAGCTAAACTCAAACAGAGTTTCGTGCACAGAGGACGAAGTTCTCTTCATTAATTATCTACCGATGAAACAACATGACTAGACTGTCACTCGAAAGAAACTGATGACTTGTGTATGAAGTTAAATAGACGTCTGAAGACAGCAATCAAGCAAACGGTGTTCACTTCTTGCACAGAAAACATTAGTCTCCATTTATTCCATTATATCACTAACACCAACTCCAATGCTAATCTTACCAATTAAGTAACTAAATTTCGATATGCGACGTCAATGGCTTATGAGGCTGATAGAGAATGCGTACAGGAGTATCTAAATAAGCAGAAAACTGATCTATATTCTGTCTCATTTCTTCACAGGATAGAAAAAAAATATGT